CGTGCCCGTAGCCTTAAACGGCTCCCCCCCTGGACACCAAGAAACTTGCGCTGCCCCTGATGTGTGCTTTTTTTTTCTGACCACGTGCAGGCAAGGAAACGGACTGCAGTCTCTGGACGTTCTCACCAGATACAACCTGTGAGCCTTTAGAGCAGCCGGAGATGGTGGTTTTTACTACAATCGTTGGAAAATTGTCTCCCCCCCCCCAGAAATTTGAGGAAGAGGGACAGAATAAAGCCCCTGTATGATCCCTCAAAATAGCACAATGTAGGAACCTGCCGGTCATCTGGTCTGGGTGTAGTAGATGTACCCTGGATCCTTGAGGAGGGTAGCACCCCTCTAAACTTCCTTGTGGGAATTGCCCTTCCGCTCATGGATATCCGTGACTTGTTCCTGACAGACGAGAGGATCCACTTGGATGAGGACAACACGCCGCTGGCCACCTTCCTCTCTTCTCTCCCACTTCTGTCCCTTCCTCAAACACCAACGGCTGCTGGACAAAGCCGTACCCTTTTCCCCAATGCCTCTCTCCGCCAGGACAGGATGATGGATTGTACGATTGTTTCGCTGGCCCGTCCGGTGTCAATGTATTCTTTGTCTTCCTGGCTCTTTGGCTTCCATTGTCCGGCAGGGCCCCCCTCCCCTCTTCTCGCCCTCCTCTTGCGGTATCTCAATCAGCAAAGCAGAAAATGCATGCGTGTGTGTGTACGTGCTTGTGGAAATTGTGTGTGTGTGTGTGTAGAATGAATTCAAACAGCAACTACAGGATCCTACCTGCTAATCCATCACAAGCTTTTGAGGGCACCGCTGCTCAGAACAGCCTTAAGGCAGAATCAAACCAGAGTTTTCTTCCTCCCAAGAACACCTTGAATTCTTGGTTCAGCCTCTGACATGGCCAAAGGTGGCTCCCGATTTCACGATATTCCTCTCCATGAAAACAGTGAGCTGCTGAACTCTCATTGCCTAAACGCCCCTAGGAGAGGAAGGGAAAAGCCCAGGATTCGCTCATAAAAACAAGCACGGTTTGCCCCGATGTGTGAACCGAGGCATTAGCCACTGGAGGAAGACCAGCAGGGGCTGTTGTCTTCCGTCTCCCTCCCCTGAGAATCTCAGCAGGAGAGACCCTTCTCCAGAGCCCTGGCCAAACCCTACAAGCAGGCCAGTGTGTGGGTCAGCAGAGACGAAGGATGCTCTGCCGGGCTACGGTGGCCCCAAGCCCTACCCAGTGATGGGAACGCCCGGGCATCCGAACAGCCTCTGGAAAGCCACACGGTCTCCATCCATCCCTGGGACTTTTAACTCCGGTTTCTGGAACTCCTTCATCAAGCCCCGTTAACCGACTGGCCAATTTCATCGGCCACGTGGCAAGCGTGTTGTTGCGGCTAAAGAACCACACAAAAAGCATCTTGTGCAATCTTTAGGCAGTTTAATAGAAGTGTCGTTGCAGGTGTGACAGCAGAGTTCACATTTTTTTTCAGAAAGGATACACACCTTGAGGCCTCTCTCGTGCCAGCCAAACGCCAGACGAGCTTTTCAAATAAGTAAGTCCACTTCCAAATGCTCAGTCAAAGGTTGGCCAACCCGGTAGTGGCCACACTCAGCTGACAAGCAACATCTGTCAGTTAGAACCACAAGGGTCTCCTCTCTCAGCCTCTAAGCAGTTTTGGACTACAAACTTTTTAAAAAGCAATGCATGAAACATTCCAGAGTAAACACAAGCCTTCTGTAGAAATAAACCACGATCTTGAGCCATGAGACCAGCCCCTAAAACTGGGACAAACGTGACGCCGAGAATCTTGGCTTGCATGAAGCCTACCGACAGCTCAATTCTTTGATAAAAAATATACTTTGGAAACGATTATTATCGGTGCTTCCGTATTCCATTTTTCTAACCCTGGTTTCTGAACGGTAAATCTCTCCTTTTTTTTCCCAATTAAACCTCTTTCTTCTCCAGATGAATATTTCCACCCACCCACCCTCCAGCTAGCACACCACTTTCGGCCCTTGTCTCCTAACCCCGACATCAGGGGGAACTGGGAGGAAACGAAGGAGGGAGCACAACTCCAGGTTAGTGAACAAGAATCCCAAGCATTCCTCCCGCAGCTAAGCAACTCTGCCATTTGGGGGTGGGGGGGGGAGGCAGAGCTTTATTCAAAGAAAGGTGGGTCTTTTTGCCATTCAGAGCAGCCTCAGTTTGCAAGACGATGACAGCACATGTGTGTTCAAACAGCAAATAGAAAAGAAATAGGGTACCCACTTAAATGATGGTTACTGAAAGGAACCAGAGAATCTTCTAAGCCCTCGTCAGCTGCTCTGGCATGGCATGTCCCTCAAGCATTTTTTCTTTAACTTTCAGGCTTCTTAAAATTCTCCAGAGCCACCTGAAATTCTGCTGCCTGTTAAAAGCTAATTTGAAAAGACACCTACCAACTGTCAAGCCCGCCCCACTCTCCTCCTGCCATTCTTTTTCATGAAATGCTCCTGCAAGGAAACTGGATGGAAAAAAAAGGGTTAATTCCACCGCTCACTCTACATTTCCAAGCGCTCATTCGCAAACCGGCGCGGTGTGTTCGGGAATCTGCCGGTTGGGAGGCAGCAGAGGGCGAACGAAGCAGAGCCACCACATCGTGGAGGAGGTGAGAAGAGTGAAGGACACCGGGGTGCGCAACACACTAAACCAGCCCCTCTTTCCCAAAGCAGCTCTCCTAAGGGTGGGGTACATGCGTAACCTGGTACGATGCAGTGTCACGGATCAAGGCAGAAAAGCAACCGGGTGCCGAGAAGGGTTTGGAATGAGGGAGCAGGTGCAGTCATGGGACCCTGCTTTCGCTCCAGCACCAGAGAAGGAGCAAAGAGATCAAGATGGCTCTTGTATCAGCAGACACGCTCTCTCTCCGCACTGAAAAAGTTCAGTGCCAAGGATCTGGGACAGAGCAGCTTCCTCGCTGTGTTTCCCCCCCCCCCGCTAGCAA